CCCCCCATCAGTCACTTCCTGCTCTATGGTCTCCATTCCCCTCTCAGGCTGACCTCCCCCATCAGTCACTTCCTGCTCTATGGTCTCCATCCCCCCTCAGGCCAACCCCCTCATCAGTCACTTCCTGCTCTATGGTCTCCATCCCCCCTCAGGCCAACCCCCCATCAGTCACTTCCTGCTCTATGGTCTCCATCCCCCCTCAGGCTGACCCCCTCATCAGTCACTTCCTGCTCTATGGTCTCTATCCCGAAGCATGGTAGGCCAGGCCTTTCCCAGGCTTCTCCCTTACTCCCCTGCGTGTGTTTTGCTGCCCCGTCAGCCTGACAGCAACTTGTGTTGAAATTCTTCCCATGTTCTTATAGTGGTCTGATCCAGGCATGAGTGCTGGACAGCTCTCAGATCACTCTCCCACTTCACAGATGAGCAAGCTGAGGCCCACACAGGGGGCAGGTGCAAGCCCAAGGTCACATTTCTAATAAGAAGTGAAGCCCAGGTCTGGCATGGTGGCTCACGCCTGTAATCCCAGCACTTTGGGAGGCCAAGGCAGGTGGATCACCTGAGGTCAGGAGTTTGAGACCAGCCTGGCCAACCTCGTGAAACCCCTTCTCTACTTAAAAAAAAAAAAAAAGTAGCTGGGTGTGGTGACAGGCGCCTGTAATCCCAGCTCCTTGAGAGGCTGAGGCAGGAGAATCGCTTGAACCTGGGATGCAGAAGTTGCAGTGAGCCGAGATGGCGCCATTGCACTCCAGCCTGGGCGGCAGAGCAAGACTCTGTCTCAAAAACATAAACTAATTAATTAACTAAACAAATGTTGACTGACTGGTAAGTGATGTGCCAAGATCAGGCCGTGCCCACAGCCAGCTCTCGGGCCCACTGGCTCGGTGTCCCCTGGGGTGGGGACAGGGAGGGCTGGTCCCAGGCTCCAGATGTCCCGTCCCTCAGCGTCCTGCGGGCATGGGGACCGGTGGCAGATGGCTCTGCGGCTCTCACCAGACAATCTTCTTCATCTCGCCCCCTACCGTGGCTGGCTCCCTGGGCTTTAGCAGGGAGCCAGGCTGCAGGGCATCAAACTCGCCATTCAAATGTGCCCCCTCGGCGGGGCAAGGGGGAGAGGGTCCTTCTGACATGTCCTGCGTGGGGTGTGGGTCGGTGGCGGCCACAGCGAGTGGGAACGCTCCGGGAGGGCGCCACCTGGAGTTCACAGCCGGCATTGCCTGAGGGGGGATTGCAGAGGCGAGGCCAGGAAACAGCAGAGTGCAGAGGGGAAGCAGGGAGAGGGAGGAGAGGGAGAGGGAGGAGAGGGAGAGGGAGGAGAGGGAGAGGGAGGAGAGGGAGAGGGAGGAGAGGGAGACGGGGAAGAAAGAGAGAGCGGGAGATGGGGGACACACCACCGCATATCTGACAGATGTGCTGTTTTTTCAGACCTAAACGTCTTCAAATCATTTTCTCAAAAAAATGCAGTATTGGTTAAGGAAGTTCATGGTGAGTGGTTTACTCACCCTCAGGAATGCACCGCGTGGAGAAAGCAGCAGGGGAAGGTCTGTGCCTCAGGCTGGGGCTGGGGTTTGAGCTCAGATCCCCGGGCAGGGGGTGAACGCCTCCCCTCTGTGTGGGCCGGGCCCGCCCTGCCTTGCAGGTTCGGCTACCTGGCCAGTCCAGTACAGAGAGCGGAAGTGGTTCTGCCCCAGAGGCAGGGGGCAGGGGGTAGGGGACAAGGACCGCCAGCCTGAGCAGCCCCGCCTGGTGCGTTCTCTGCTCGGGTCTCTGGTGATGATGCCTTTCCCTGGGCATTTTAAATCACCACAAAACCCACACTATAATCAATGGCTTCATGACGCTGATGCAGCTGTTTTCCTGCCCAGTAGTTTATGAAGGCAATACAGCAGCTGCCCAGGGAAGGTGGGAGGGAGAATTTACCGCCAGGGAGGGGCGAAGCAGGCTGCAGGTTCTGAGCTGGTAATCATCCTAGCGGGACCCATCCTGCCTTTTCTTAACGGGACAGGAGCGCTGGCTCTGCCTGTTAATTCTTAAACAGATGTTCCGTGAGAACAGAGAACAGAGGGGCCTGTGAATGGCCTGTTGGGAGGATGGGAGGGACGGTGGGCTGATGAGGCGGCACATCACTGACAGGCAGAGCAGCAGCGTCACCGATAGCCACACGCGTAGCCTCTGAGGCAGCTGCTCTGAGAGACAGCACATCCGTCTGGCTGATACAGGCTCAGCAGAGCTCCCAGCATGGGATCTGGTCACTCCTGCCCTTTCCTCCTCCTTCCTCAGCTCCTGAGAGCTGCCCCACCCCATTCTGAGGGAAAGCAGAGGCCTGAATGAGGCATCCCTTTTCTGCCTGGGCTGTCAGGGAGCTCAAAGGTAAACGTCATAGATTCGCTTCTCCAGATGCTGCTAGGCGGCCGGCTCCAGGGAACTCCGTCCCCCATTGCTGTATTCTAGGTGAATGGCACTCCCGAGGTTGGAGGCAGAGCTCCTCCCACGAAGGCCCTCCACTGGCTGAACTGGAAGGATATTTAGTCCTTATGCCACTGAAACTTTCTGTAGCTTTTGACCCTGTTGGCTACTGGTACTGCCCCCTCCCCCAAACTTTCTGTTGTTTAGCTTCTGGAGCACTGTGTCCAACCTCTCTGACAGCTGTCTCTCCCCGTCCTCTAATCCCCAAACACTCACATTCCCAGGGGTCCCTCTGTGCATCTGCCCGACTCCCAGTGTCACCTCCTGCCGTGGGCACCGGCTCTTCCAGCCTGGACATTCCCTGAGGGTGGGCGCTTCGGTATCTCCCCATCTCCCAACCTGCTCCTGCCGTGCGGGGCACCAGGTGTCCAGGACAGAGACTTCAGGTCTCACCTCATCCCCACATCCAAGTCACCAAGTCCGGCCAGCTTCGCCTTCTCAGTACTCCTCACACCTGACCCTTCCTGTTTCCCATCACCTAGCACCCTAGCTCCAGACCCTCGAACCCACGCTTAACTCCCCCTTTCAATCCAGCTGCACATTGCCACTGCCGTCCTCAGAGGGAGCCTCACAAGTCTCACAACGACCAGGTCACTCCCTCAGGACGACCCCTTCAGTGGCTCCCCAGTGCTGTCACGAGACCGGCCAAGCCCCCTCGCCTGGGATCCAAGACCTCCCTCCCCACCCTCCTTTGCCGCCACCCCCTCCAGGTGACCTGACCCATGGCTCATATTGAGGTGCTGGGCTAATACCACTGCCTGACAAACAGCCCCCACTACCCTCCCTGTGCTGCTCCCAGCTGTGGTTCCTGCTCTCCCCTCCTCTTGGAATGACCATCTCTGCTCTCTGCCACAATCTGCCTTAGCCGGCCTGTTTCCGCTGCACCCCCACGGCTGGACAGACCCCTCTTTCCTGTGCTGCTCTGCCTCTCTCAATGCATGGCTCCCTGATTTTGAACTCAGTCCCTCGGCTGAACTATGAGGTCCTGGGGACATACCGTGCCTTGACCAGCTTTGTGTCCCCGGCACCCAACCCAGCTCCTGGGCCAGAGAGGGCATCACTGGGCGTTGGCTGAACTGACCTGAATCACTGCGTAGCCACCTAGCACTCCATGAACTCTGAAATCACCTCCTGCCTGTATTTTTCCATTGCCCTATTGCATGGGTGTGTTTAGTGTCATCCCCTTCCTCCTATCGTGCAGGAGGAAGATTCTAAACAATAAGGAAAGGAGTTCGGTGGCAGGGTGCCAGCCAGTGGAAGGTGGTGTTTAGCAAGCGCCCCTTGGAATGGCCGCATACACAACCCCTGCCGCCCGAAGGGGCGCCCGACCTTTCTCAGGGTCCTTCAGGCTCGAGCGGACGATCTCCACCACTTTCTCCACCTCTTCACTGCTGCAGACGTTGAGCTGGACGGTTCTCAATCGGTCACTGTTTAGGCTGTCCAGCTCCTTGACCCCATCATGGCCTTTGTCCTGGGGAGGAGAGAAGAGCTGTTTCTACCTCCTTCCTTCCCACCCTGAGGCAGACCCTGAGGACCCCTGCCAAGGCAGGAGCTGGCCTCAAGTCCCGGCCAACGCCTCAGGCATGTTGGCAACTGCCCACGGGATTCTCTGGAGGCCTGGCCAGGCCTGGCCCACCAGCGTGCGGTCCTTTTTAATCTGAGCACTGATGACCTATCAAGCACCGAGCTATATGCCACAGACACACCATGAACAGGATGGAGAGCCGGCCCCCAAGGCCTCACGACAGGATTCTTTCTCCAAGCAGGGGTTGCAAACTTATGTGGGGCAGGTGGGGGCCCTGACGAGTACAGGACATGTCAGGAATTACCCATGTGGGGATGCAAGCCCAGGGTTGCCAGATGCTTACATTTTTAAGCTAGTAATTGGGAAATCTCTTAATTCTTTTAAGTGTTGGCAACTTACGCACATTAAAAACAAAAACAAAAACAAAACAAAACACTGTGTGGGCCAAAGCACGTCCACAGGCCACATAGGACCAGCAGGCTGCCAGTTTGCCACCTCTGTTCTAAGCCAAGGGCCCATCAACTCCAAACTGGTAAGAGGCCAGAGCCAGCCTCTAATCCCAGCTCAGTCACTGAGCAGGCTCTGTGCACTCAGGGGTGTCCCCTAACAGGTGTCCATTTTTTCTGGCTGTAAAACAGGAACATCACCACCTGTCTTGACCTGCTCAGACTCATGGAGTAAGGAAATGGATCTGTAAGAAGCCTGTCAGAGTCTAAAGCACCACACAAATTCAGGTACTGCTAAACACGAGAAAGGCGTCACTCGCTCGGCAAACATTTCTTGGGCCTCTATCGTGCTCCGGCACCGTGCTAGGAACTGGAGGTCAAGATCGATAATTCAGCCCGTTCCCAGAGTCATGTTCTAGGGAAGGAGACAGGTGAAGAGTACATAAGCAACACGGTGACTGTGTGCTGTATGGAAACTTGCGGGAGGTGGGAGGGACACAGGAGGGATGGGCAGGGGAGACCTTCCAAAGGCAGTGACAGCTGAGGGCATTCGCAAGAGGGGGCTGATGGGGATGGGGCACTGGGGGAAGAGATGAGAGGATACCACCATAAGCCATCGGTAGCAGGCAGTGCAGACACATAAGGAAGTGGTGGACACAGGGCTGGAGAGGTGAGGTGGGCAGGGGTCTGCCTGTGGGCATTGCCGAGCTGCCAGGGGGCTTTCATCTAAGCAGACGGCATTTCCTGAGTGTCCACTGTCCTGAGCACGGTGCTAAGTACGAGGCAGGTTGTATTGTCATATTTCATCCTATTCGATGAAACACGGTTTCTTTCACGATAGGCATGAGCTACACTCGATGTGAAAATTAAACAGAGTTGGTCATCAGTGACTTAATTGGCAGTGATTTTCCTGAGTGGTGCATGGCATTAGTGATGCCTCTTGTAAGAGGACTGGACTAGCTGCCAAGAATAAAGGGGTAGAGAAATGCCCACTCTCCAGCCAAGGGCTTGCCCATGGCACACACAGCTGCTACCGAAGCAAACATCCCAGGCGCAGGCAAGGATGGAAAGCTCAGGACGGTCAGCGCATGTCAGGGCTGAGCCTTCTGAATGCTTTCAACCAGAAGAACCCTAACCCCAGGACAGGAGAAATCGCATCATGCAATTTCAGAGGGCAGAGGAGGAAATGGTGAAGGGACTGCCCAGTGGGGCCGGAGGTGCTGGACATAGTCACCCTGGAGAGAAGACTTGAGTGGAACATGACTGAGGGAGCCAACTTGTTCCATGCAGCCACAGAGAACAAAGCCAGGACCAAGAAGTCAAGTTCAGCTCAAAATGAGGTGTGATCTTCAGTCTGGAGATGGCATGGGCTGCCTGGGGGTGTTTAGGCAATGAGTGTGGGTGGGGGGTTCTCCACCTCTTCACTGCTGCAGACGTTGAGCTGGACGGTTCTCAATCGGTCACTGTTTAGGCTGTCCAGCTCCTTGACCCCATCATGGCCTTTGTCCTGGGGAGGAGAGAAGAGCTGTTTCTACCTCCTTCCTTCCCACCCTGAGGCAGACCCTGAGGACCCCTGCCAAGGCAGGAGCTGGCCTCAAGTCCCGGCCAACGCCTCAGGCATGTTGGCAACTGCCCACGGGATTCTCTGGAGGCCTGGCCAGGCCTGGCCCACCAGCGTGCGGTCCTTTTTAATCTGAGCACTGATGACCTATCAAGCACCGAGCTATATGCCACAGACACACCATGAACAGGATGGAGAGCCGGCCCCCAAGGCCTCACGACAGGATTCTTTCTCCAAGCAGGGGTTGCAAACTTATGTGGGGCAGGTGGGGGCCCTGGCGAGTACAGGACATGTCAGGAATTACCCATGTGGGGATGCAAGCCCAGGGTTGCCAGATGCTTACATTTTTAAGCTAGTAATTGGGAAATCTCTTAATTCTTTTAAGTGTTGGCAACTTACGCACATTAAAAACAAAAACAAAAACAAAACAAAACACTGTGTGGGCCAAAGCACGTCCACAGGCCACATAGGACCAGCAGGCTGCCAGTTTGCCACCTCTGTTCTAAGCCAAGGGCCCATCAACTCCAAACTGGTAAGAGGCCAGAGCCAGCCTCTAATCCCAGCTCAGTCACTGAGCAGGCTCTGTGCACTCAGGGGTGTCCCCTAACAGGTGTCCATTTTTTCTGGCTGTAAAACAGAAACATCACCACCTGTCCTGACCTGCTCAGACTCATGGAGTAAGGAAATGGATCTGTAAGAAGCCTGTCAGAGTCTAAAGCACCACACAAATTCAGGTACTGCTAAACACGAGAAAGGCGTCACTCGCTCGGCAAACATTTCTTGGGCCTCTATCGTGCTCCGGCACCGTGCTAGGAACTGGAGGTCAAGATCGATAATTCAGCCCGTTCCCAGAGTCATGTTCTAGGGAAGGAGACAGGTGAAGAGTACATAAGCAACACGGTGACTGTGTGCTGTATGGAAACTTGCGGGAAGTGGGAGGGACACAGGAGGGATGGGCAGGGGAGAACTTCCAAAGGCAGTGACAGCTGAGGGCATTCGCAAGAGGGGGCTGATGGGGATGGGGCACTGGGGGAAGAGATGAGAGGATACCACCATAAGCCATCGGTAGCAGGCAGTGCAGACACATAAGGAAGTGGTGGACACAGGGCTGGAGAGGTGAGGTGGGCAGGGGTCTGCCTGTGGGCATTGCCGAGCTGCCAGGGGGCTTTCATCTAAGCAGACGGCATTTCCTGAGTGTCCACTGTCCTGAGCACGGTGCTAAGTACGAGGCAGGTTGTATTGTCATATTTCATCCTATTCGATGAAACACGGTTTCTTTCACGATAGGCATGAGCTACACTCGATGTGAAAATTAAACAGAGTTGGTCATCAGTGACTTAATTGGCAGTGATTTTCCTGAGTGGTGCATGGCATTAGTGATGCCTCTTGTAAGAGGACTGGACTAGCTGCCAAGAATAAAGGGGTAGAGAAATGCCCACTCTCCAGCCAAGGGCTTGCCCATGGCACACACAGCTGCTACCGAAGCAAACATCCCAGGCGCAGGCAAGGATGGAAAGCTCAGGACGGTCAGCGCATGTCAGGGCTGAGCCTTCTGAATGCTTTCAACCAGAAGAACCCTAACCCCAGGACAGGAGAAATCGCATCATGCAATTTCAGAGGGCAGAGGAGGAAATGGTGAAGGGACTGCCCAGTGGGGCCAGAGGTGCTGGACATAGTCACCCCGGAGAGAAGACTTGAGTGGAACATGACTGAGGGAGCCAACTTGTTCCATGCAGCCACGGAGAACAGAGCCAGGACCAAGAAGTCAAGTTCAGCTCAAAATGAGGTGTGATCTTCAGTCTGGAGATGGCATGGGCTGCCTGGAGGTGTTTAGGCAATGAGTGTGGGTGGGGGGTTGTTTGGGGGTAGGAGGGATGTTTGGGGGTTGGGGGCATGCTTGCGGATGGGGTGTGGGAAATGTGGTACAGAGACAATCCAGGCACTGGACAGGAGGTCGCGCTGATCTCCCCTAACACCCCTTCCTTTCCTCGACTGTCATCTGCACAGCCTGGTTTTCCATTGAAAGGAGCCTCCCCAGTGGCCCTTCGAAAAAGCAATGTGACGTGACCCACGGAGTCTCTGCAGGGGCCTGGCAGGCACCAGGGAGGCCTTCGGACAGGGCAGCCAGGCTGGAGGCTCGGCGGGTCTAAAGTTTGACTCTGAAAGCCCCTAGATGTGCCGAGCTTCCCAAACAAGACACAGGCATGAGACGCACAGGACAGATGGGCCTGGAGCTCATGCTGTCATTCCCACAGAGGACTCCACCGAGAAAGAACTAATGCCATCTTCAAGTCTAGGGTGCCACGATGTGGTGCCTGCAGACCCCTCTCTTCCACAGGCGGCACACAGGTGCCAGGAAAACACGTGTCTTGCTTTAATACAGTCTTCCATCTGGTGGCTCTTCAAATGCCCCTTGGAGTGGAGCTCACGTGGTCTGAACCTCGGAGAGGGGGATTCTAGCTGAAATGCACAAGAGGCGTCTAAATGTCCTTCCTCTTGGGACTTGGTTAACCCTGTTGCTATCATTCAGCTCTTCTCAGACCCCTATACAAGACCTCTCCAGTGCCCCAGACAGCATCATAAGGTCCCTGCAGTCCTCAGGGGAACCCCCGCCGACTCCAAGTCAGGTTGCCCACGTAAACTCTTAATTTGGCGGTTTGACAGTGAAGAGCCTTCTTTCAGAGGAAACTAGGGGATTACTCCCACTGCCCATGGCTTCAGGCTTAGCGTTCAGGCTCCGCAGGAGAGCAACGCCACCCTCCTGTCTTCACCTGACAGGCCCCCAGGAACCCTCATTTGCCTTTGGGCAGCCTCCACACCCCGCTCCTGACAACCACGCCAACAGGGAGAGAAACTACCAGTGTGTCCCCAGTTATTCAGGGAAACCTTCCCAACCACCCTCAGCCTGCTGGCTGCAGACTCTGTTGGCCCGTCGCCTT